CTCACAAGCTTGTACCGTAAGCAATAAATAATGTATCTAACCTAGTTTTACGGCGAGAAAGCGGCGTATAAGGAAGTTGTTGGACGGACAGTGGAAAGGGAATGTTTCGCAAAAGTTCCGTTTCCCACAGTAGGGGATTTTAAAATTAGGGTCGGAGATTCGTTACTTGCCGTCTGGGAACGCGGCGTTTGCAGCTCGTTACAGCTTGTAAGCTTGGAGTGCTTTCAACAGTGACGTTATGGCAATAACGTAACGTTGAAAGCACTAATTCACTTACTAACTGAATTCCAACTGCTATTTTGCCGCCGTCCTGTCAGATCTATGGCTCCGACCCCTGGGTCCGACGGCGAGTGGGACGCTGTCATCGATGCCTACAAGTAAACGCCGCCTCAGGCGGAAGTCCAAACTTGCAGAAGTAAGGGTAGGGGTCGTAGCACAGGCTACGACTGGGACGCTGGTCCCTGGCTCGCGGAGTCCCGTCATCGATTGGAAGCAGGGGTCAGCAGTGCGCCATTCCGGGACTGGCCGCGCCATTTCAGAACAGGCTGTACGATTCATGAAATTTTTATGGCTGCATCCCAGCTATTCATGCAGACAAAACTTTTCCACACGGTGCCTTCCGACGCCACCATCTGGTTCTGGTTAGATATACAGACACCGCCGCACTTGTGCGGAACTTGTAACTTGTAACTAGAACAGCTACCATGAACCTGCAAACGTACGAGCACAGGATGGATACTATTTGAAACCGCTCTTGGATTAATACTTTAGTAATAGGCCAGCTGTATCCCGTCGGATCCATCCACGTAGATTTACTGCAACGTCGGAACGCTCCCTTCACATTTATAGCAACAACTTCCGTAGAGATTAACGTTGAATGCGTCTGCGCATTTGAAAGCAGCTAGGAGAGCTTCAAACAGCGGTACATCAAACATCGTGCAATTTACGAACGCATACATTATAGGCCGTTTCGAGAAGTAAATATGCCGCGCTTCAGCAGCACCCTGCTGCTGCTTGTCGTAGCGGTCGCCGCTTCCGCGTTCATCGTCGACACATGCGCCGCTGATGGCGACAGCAGCCGGCGCTTGCTGGCATCAGGTAGGTGTGCCGTCATTCAATCCGATCACATACATACGCTTTTCCGACATCACGTCAGTATATACTGTATATTTGCCCTGCTCTCTAAGAGGTAGGCCTCGGCACGAATGCACGTGGGATGGTTAAATGTTGACATCATATGTTGACATCTGCATGCCGACTGACCTACGATTGCACTGATTGCTCGGCGGTGCTGAGCGGTGCTAGAGTTGTATCACGGCGTCAGAAAAGTATCGATCGGCGGGCGCAGATCCCGTAATATGCCCAGAATACAGCAGCTACACTCTTCATTTTATCCATCCTAACGCTTCAAGGTAGTTTGGGGCCTTGAAGCACCTTGATGCAGCTGAGCGGCACCTGCACCTGCCAGCTTCCGGGAGCCTTCCAGGCCTGTGGGTTTTTGCGGCCTGGCTAAATGTATGTGTTGCTTTTGAGGACTCCATTTTGGCGGTTGCGATGTGGCCGAGGGCTCCCCAGAGCGTCGGCTGGGCTCTGTAACACAGCAAAGGCGTAACCCGGGATGCTCAGATTGGCATTTGCGTCGTTACATTGCCCCCCACTTAGCAATGGACGTCCTCGGCCATTATTTCGAGCACAGGAGCCATCCCACCTCGCGCCAGTGCGCTGGTTTATCCATTACACCATGAAATCGCCAATTTGCGACTTGCTGGTTGCCAGAATCAAACCGCCGACCCGAAGTTTATTTCGGAATTCGTGCGGTCCCGTCTCGATACCATTGTAACACAGCAAAGGCGTAACCCGGGATGCTCAGATTGGCATTTGCGTCGTTACAGGCTCCAACTGGAAACCAACGACGTCGGCTGTTGGACTCATCATGTGTTGTTAAACAGATGGATTATGCAAGCTCTAAACGTGGCAACATCCCATAGATGAATATGCATGCTATGATATGCTAGTGATGAAACATAGGATTAAAACAGAGAAATGGTAACCGAGCGCCGTCCCGTCGCCGATGGCTTGCTATCGTAGTACTGACGGATATGTCCAGTACGGCACATACATTATTGCAAGCTAGCTGTTGTACACATAATGAACATACGCCTGCTGCTGCGCGTCTGCTGTTGCATCCTCCCTATCTACCCAGCAGGCAGTCACTACACACGCACCACACTTTAGAAAAGTGCAGCGGACCTGTGGGCACAAGTGTGTTGAGGCGATATTTTATGTGAGGATCGGATGAGCCGCAGCGGCGCTGCTCCTGCTTAAGTAGGGTGTTTCCCTTGCCTCACTCAATTTACGCAGGCTGCACGTACACCATCCAAGCTGGTGACACCTTTTGGGCCCTTGCCCAGCGGCGCGGCACCACCGTGGACGTCATTCAGTCCTTGAACCCGGGAGTTGACCCCACCAGGCTGCAAGTCGGCCAGTTCATCAATGTGCCGTGCTCAGGAGGAGGGTACGTATGCACATCGATGTATGATGTGTGAAACAGGGGGGTGTATCTTCCCCCGTGGCAGCTACCCTGCGAAACCCTGCCTTCCCCGGTATTTCCGGGCACCCTCATCCAGTCACCCTAGTCAACTTCTCAGTGGATCGCTCAGGTTCCGCACCCACCACCAGCATCCAACGGACTCTGCCAGGTCGACAGCGGCGCAACTCCGTTCCTGGTCGGCTCGCAGGTTAACTTTATCCCAGGTCACCACCGTCAACTAGGGGCGCAATGCCTTCCAACATCGGAAGGACTTTGACCCTAATGGTTATCGATCCCGGGATCTCCCGGGAGCAATGGTCGCGCCTTACCAGTAGTGCCAAACTCAGTGTAGTGCCAAACTCGATGTATGTATGTATGAGCACCGCCGACCACCTAATGTTCCAGAATCTACCGAGTGCTGTTGGTTTATTAATGATAGCTGCTATGAGTGCTGATATTAGTGCATTTCCAGCCACGACTTTCGGGCCACCTATGGCCAAAAGGAATGAACTTGAGTGGGCGGCCAGAGCGACGTGAATCCATTCCTTTTTCCCCGGGCCGAAAAACCCAATCTTTATTAGTTTTTAAGGAATTCTTAAGGAATTATCACCAAGAGCACAGTGCCTCTAATCAATCCCGCACGTACCGTGTGTGCCTGCTGGATCAGATCAACGCCGACCTCCACTGCTCCAGCTGCCAGCGGTAAGCACATGCACTTGCTTGCTCGCAGGTGGTGCAGATATATAGACACATGACTGCCCGTTTAAATATTAATTGTGCTAAGGGAATATTGTCAGGAGGAGGCGGAATAGATAGTAGTGTGGAAGTGGTGACGGCGCAGCCATCGTCTGTCATCCCCAGCAGTCCGGAGGCGATCCATCGTAAATGAGAGCGCGGTGCTATTGCGAACACAGCTGACGAAGGAGCGTTTACAAGGGGATTACCTAGGCCTATGGCTAGCTCGTGCTTGGGTGCATCTCATTGGCATTTGCGTTTGTTGAAGTGTTTCAGAAGTAGGAGGTAATAAAACAATCATCCTTCGCAGCAATTCTATTGTAAATCTGCAAACCCTGAACCAGCTGCTGTGTAAATTAAAACATTAGTGAACTAATCAACTCGAAAGTCCCCCTCTGAGAAACAGCGGACGGTACTTTCTTTACAGCTGTTGGGTGCGACCGCTGAGGCTGCGCTGTTGTATTTTACTAAAATTTAATAAAATTCACTAACATTACACTAGGCAATACAGAGATGAATCCCTGCCAGGCTGGTTTCCAACTGGCGCGTCATGCATTGTGTCGAAAGTGCAGCTTTGGTTCTGGTGATCACGCACCTGTGACCTACGGCAATACACCTACCCTGCAGGACTGATCATTTATTTATATTTTCCACAGCTGCCGCAAGGCCGTGACTACATGAAGCAAGGTTGCTAGCTGACTGGCCTACATACGTAGGATGTGATTGCCCCTTTATGTCTCCTTTGCATTTGCTTGTTCCCCCAATTCAATTCAATTCAGCAGCACCAAGCAGCGGCAGCGGCTGCACGTACACCATCCAGCCTGGCGACACCTTTTGGGCCATCGCTCAGCGGCGCGGCACCACCGTGGACGCCATTCAGTCCTTGAACCCGGGAGTTGACCCTGCAGGGCTGCAAGTTGGCCAGGTCATCAATGTGCCATGCGGCAGCAATGGCCCTGCACCGCAAGGGTATGTACCATATACGCACACATGCATAACACACATGCATGTGTGTCATCAGGTCCCCTGTCTTCCCCCTGCCGGCTAGCTGTCCGGAATGTCCTCAGCACGGTATATGTGGCATATGTACGTGCGATAGGAACCTCTGCGAAGGTAGATGGGATCAGTACTGCACGTGCAGCCATGTGCCCTCTGCATGCCTGTCTCCGAGGGTGCGTGTACGAACTCGACACGCTCTGCTTGCTGTTGTTGCTTCTGTGACAGAGTCTAGCTACTATTAAATTGCTAAGAAACCGCCATGCGTGTGCATACCACCCTGCCCGTCACACTTCGCCCCACTCTGTCCCCCGCCGCCCATGCAGTGGTGGTAGCAAAGTCCTTTACTCGGGATCAGGCAGTGGCACCTACTACTACGACCTGCGCACCACGTGCCCCCAAAACCCCGGCGGCTTCCCAGAGAACAACGGCTACCCCTATTGCGCCAGCTATGACCCGTCTGCACCCACCTACAAGACTCTCGCTCAGCTGGGCAGTAATAACGTCATTGCCATTGACCGCAATGTGCTGTCAGCAAATCGTGCCGGGCTGTGTGGCAAAAAGATCCTGGTGTTCAAGGATGGCGTTCCTGTGACGGCTCCGGACGGTGGTAGCTTCTTCGTGTGGGACGGCTGCGAGGCATGTGTTGGCGGGGGTCGCATTGACTTCAGTTTGAGTGGTTTGCAGCGGGCGGCTAGCGATGCCTGTTCGCTGGGGGTGGTTCCGGGCATCTCCTGGCAAGTGGTGGATGAGGTGGTGCAGCAGTTTGTACCTCCGTGATTGATGATGAGAACCTTATAATGTCCAGATAGATTGTTCTATCCGTCGTACATGCATGGATACATGCGTGGATGCATACACTTATTTCCTGAGTGTCATGGTTGAAATAGTTGAAGAAAGACCGGCTCATCACCGCCATAAATGAAAGCAGTTGTTGCGAGCGGATTACTGTGGCTACCCTGGGCCAAACCCTGTAACAGACACACGGTATAGACCAGGAGTGTTTAGGCCGGTGTAAAGTACCAAGGAAAGCCCCGCACCGCACAGCCCGGACCGTCCCAAATGACCAGCTAAATGACTAATACGATGCTAACAAAAGGTTTTGTGGGCAATGGCCAAGCGGTCTTCTCACTCATATTGAGAGGCCAGATCGCAACACGAAGAGCTGGTTCATTGACATCAGGTGGAAAGACCGGTCCAAATACTTTAATGCTGCACCTGACCTGAAAAGGTTGGGTCTTCGGGTAGACGACTCGCTCACCAAGGAAGTGCGTGCTGAAAGGTCAAGGCTACGGCCCATGTGGCAGGTGATTAAGGTGAAGCAGTGGATCCCCATGTGGTGTAACGGGGCGGAGCTGTATTACAAGAAGAGACCGAACGGGGGAGCACCGGTGCCATACCCAAGTCAGTACAGTGACGACGACAGCGATGGTGGAGAAGGCGGAGAATGGATGCTGAGAATGATGACGACGCTGTAAATATGCCTTCTGAGGGCCATACAGGCGGAGTCGGTGTTACTGGTAGCAGTGGTGCCGCTGCCGGTGGCAGCATGCCACCACCACCACCACCGCCACCACCACCTCCCATGCCAATGGCATCATCACCAGCCGCCCCACCACCAGCTCCACCGTCTTACAGACAGCAGCTGGGTATGAAGATCCGAGAAACACACGTGGCTTCACTGAGTGCAGTAAAGGCAAAAGGAGGCAAATACCCACGCACAGAGCCAGTATACAGGCTCATGTACTCAGCATCACCTAGAAGGCTTGACCAGTCCCGAAACCAGGCACCAGCACCTCGGGATTCGAGGCCCAGCTTTGCCACCGGCCCCACCATGGACATTGACGGCTTCACTCTGGGCGGAGGAGTGCAAAGGACCAGGATCGAGACAGCCGTGGTGGGAGTTGAAGCTCTGGGGTTGACAAGGGAACAATTAGAAGCCGGGAGGGACATGCAGGGCCCAGCAGCAGAGCTGATAACCGACCTCATGACCAGGCTGGCGAGCATACTAGTGCTGACCGGTTTGCAGGCCTGCCTGCTGAAGTGGATACTAGGATAACGCGAGCCCAGGGCAAAGAGGATTGAAGGTTTTGTTGTGGAATGTCTATGGGTTGCCGGAGACAGGGGTCATAAAACTTGGCCATGCTGGAGTTAAGTATTTTGTGACTAGCCATGTGATCATCATTGCTACCGAAGCACACTTAACGGATGCAGTGCCAGACAGTGACGTGTTCCTTGAAGGTTTCCGCGTGATGCGGGTGCAGAGGTCAGGAGACGCCGTACACGCTGACTATGGCGGGGTTGCTCTTTACGTGCATGATACCGTCTCCCAGGGGGTTACCATTGTCCGGAAAAACAACAGTCTTGCAGGCTGTGAGGTCCTGTGGATACGTGTCAACCTCCTGTCAGGAAACAGCCTCCTGGTGGGGGCCTGTTACCTTGCGCCCGAAGCTTCCAGAGTATACCCAGCCGGAGGTGCAACTAATGCACAGCATGCAGCAGCAGCAGAGGCTACTTTCACGAGAGTCCAACAAGACATTTCCGAGCTCCGGCAGCCGGGGGAGGATGTCATGCTTGCCGGTGATCTAGATGCCCGTCTATCCAGTGCACTGCATGCAAAGCACCGGTCCTCGCCTGCTGACCTGCCCGGGTATGTTAATGATGTTCCAGATTTAGATCAGCTGACGGCACTGCAGGAGTTCATGGGCTTGCCGGGTGACGCGGACCCTCAGGGCTATGCAGACGTGCCTGCATGTAGGAGTGAGGACCTCGTCTGCGATTTTGTTGGGCACCCGTTGGGTGCCCTGTGCTGATCACAGGGACTTCTGGTATTAAATTGCCGTGTTTCTGGGGATTTGGAGGGTCGTCTGACCTTCCCCAAGGGTGAAGCAGGTGGGAGCATGATCGATCTTTTTGTTGGTTCGGCCGGTGTTCTCCATCCAGCGTTTTTTTTAAGTAATATATTACTTAAAAGGGATAAACAGGCATTTTGGCAAGAATAAAATGAGGCGGACCCGTCTGGTGTTAGTGATGGTGCCGGGGTCGGTGGAGGAAGAGTGCCGGTTCTCGGCAATGGGGTACTTGCAGGACCCCACCCGCAACCGCCTGGACGAGCACCTGGCACTGTGTGTGCGGATGTATACCCAGGACCTGTTCGACCTGGGCACGTTCCCGTTCCGTGACGCACTGAGAGTGGCTGGACAGCAGCAGCAGGGGCCGGTACGTGATGAACCGGTAGAGTCCTAGTGTGCTGTGGTTTGCAGCGGCGGGTGGCGGCCTGTGATTTGCTATGCGGTTGCTTGCTTTGGGCCTTTGCTTGGTCAACTTTACTTATTGATCACAAACAGTGCCAGAACTATCTACGCACGTGCACGAAGAGTTCACACACGAACGAAAACGCGCCAACTCAGTGCGTGACTCTTGGTCTATGAGGGGAGTTGTGACTTATCGTGGGGGGTCTGGGGGGCCCCGGAGCTTCCCCCAGCGCCTCACACTTAAGGAATAAATTACGACGACCCTAGCAGCTTTGACAGCCTATGCAGCTGAGCACAGAAAGAGTCCGACACCGACGAGTACGGCATCTTGGCCAACCTTGCTCCGCTCTGGCCATTGCCCACAAAACCTTTTGTTAGCATCGTATTAGTCATTTAGCTGGTCATTTGGGACGGTCCGGGGTGTGAGGTGCGGGGCTTTCCTTGGTACTTTACACCGGCCTAAACACTCCTGGTCTATACCGTTGTCTGTCACAGGGTTTGGCCCAGGGTAGCCACGGTAATCCGCTCGCAACAACTGCTTTCATTTATGGCGGTGATGAGCCGGTCTTTCTTCAACTATTTCAACCAGGACACTCAGAAAATAAGTGTATGCATCCAGCGCTCCATGCATGTACGACGGATAGAACAATCTATCTGGACATTATAAGGTTCTCATCATCAATCACGGAGGTACAAACCGCTGCACCACCTCATCCACCGCTTGCCAGGAGATGCCCGGAACCACCCCCAGCGAACAGGCATTGCTGGCGGCCCCCTGCAAACCACTCAAACTGAAGTCAATGCGACCCCCGCCAACACATGCCTCGCAGCCGTCCCACACGAAGAAGCTACCACCGTTCGGAGCCGTCACAGGAACGCCATTCTTGAACACCAGGACTTTTTTGCCACACAGCCTGGCACGATTTGCTGACAGCACATTCCGGTCAATGGCAATGGCGTTATTACTGCCCAGCTGAGCGAGAGTCTTGTAGGTGGGTGCAGACGCGTTATAGCTGGCGCAATAGGGGTAGCCGTTGTTCTCTGGGAAGCCACCGGGGTTTTGGGGGCACGTGGTGCGCAGGTCGTAGTAGTAGGTGCCACTGCCCGATCCCGAGTAAAGGACTTTGCTACCACCACTGCGCGGGCAGTGGGGGACAGAGTGGGGCGAAGTGTGACGGGCAGGGTGGTGTACACACGCTTGGGGGGTATTAGTAGTCTAATAGTAGCTAGACTCTGTCACAGAAGCAACAACAGCAAGCAGAGCGTGTCGAGTTCGTACACACACCCTCGGAGACAGGCATGCAGAGGGCACATGGCTGCACGTGCAGTACTGATCCCATCTACCTTCGCAGAGGTTCCTATCGCACGTACATATGCCACATATACCGTGCTGAGGACAGTCCGGACAGCTAGCCGGCAGGGGGAAGACAGGGGACCTGATGACACACATGCAGGTGTGTTATGCATGTGTGCGTATATGGTACATACCCTTGCGGTGCAGGGCCATTGCTGCCGCATGGCACATTGATGACCTGGCCAACTTGCAGCCTGGTGGGGACAACGCCCGGGTTCAAGGCCTGAATGGCGTCCACGGTGGTGCCGCGCCCCTGGGCAAGGGCCCAAAAGGTGTCGCCAGGCTGGATGGTGTACGTGCAGCCTGTGTAAATTGAGTGAGGCAAGGGAAACACCCTACTTAAGCAAGTGCAGCGCCGCTGCGGCTCATTCGATCCTCACATAAAATATCGCCTCAACACACTTGTGCCCACAGGTCTGCTGCACTTTCCTAAAGTGTGGTGCGTGTGTAGTGACTGCCTGTTGGGTATATGGGGAGGATGCAACAGCAGACGCGCAGCAGCAGGCGTATGTTCATTATGTGTACAACAGCTAGCTTGCAATAATGTATGTGCCGTACTGGACATATCCGTCAATACTACGATAGCAAGCCATCGGCGACGGCGTTCTGTTACCATTTCTCTGTTTCATCACTAGCATAGCATAGTATGCATATTATGGGATGGTGTCAGCGGTCGCACCCAACAGCTATAAACGAAGTACCGTCCGGTGTTTCTCAGAGGGAGACTTCCGAGTTGATTAGTTCATAACTGTTTTAATTTACTCAGCAGCTGGTTCAGGGTTTGCAGATTCAATAGAATTGCTGCGAAGGATGATTATTTTATTACCTCCTCCCTCTGAAACACTCAACAAACGCAAAATGCAAGTGGGATGACACCCAAGAACGAGCTAGCCATAGGCCCAGGTAATCCCCTTGTAAACGCTCCTTCGTCAGCTGTGTTCGCAATAGCACCGCGCTCTCATTGACGATGGATCGCCTCCGGACTGCTGGGGATGACAGACGATGGCTCCGCCGTCACCACTTCCACACTACTATCTATTCCACCTCTTTCTGACAATATTACTTTGACACAAATCTTAAAATCTGTATGTTTTCTGAGTGAAACGAATTTTTTGTGACCAGGCTCGCCCCTTCCCACGGAAGCAAAAGCACAACTTTCCTACCCCTCCGTCTGTACGACCCCTAAGCAGTAAGGCAACTACGCAAGAAATCCTAAACGGGCAGTCATGTGTCTATATATCTGCACCACCTGCGAGCAAGCAAGTGCATGTGCTTACCTCTGGCAGCTGGAGTAGTGGAGGTCGGCATTGATCTGATCCAGCAGGCACACACGGTACGTATGGGATTGATTAGAGGCACTGTGCTCTTAGTGACAAGAAATCAGATTCAATAAAATAAGAAATAAATTGGGGTTTTCGGA